TATCTGTCTCTACTACTTATTTCGCTCTAACATGTCAAAGTTGCAAATAACAGCATCCTAAATCACTTCAAATATGATAAGAATAGCCACAACAATCTCTGTGGTGGCTACGCACACAAACAACAAGCCAAGCCTCCCACTCACAGGAATCACAAACATCTTTCAACCAAAATTTTCAACTAGCAAGGCATAAGAAATGATCTCTAGGGCCACCCACAAATGAATCACAAGATTAGCATGCTCTGCATATTTGTTATTTCACAGCATTCAATAAAGTTGAATGCATACCCACTCAACCAGGTTCTGACTGTAGTCTGAAGTTGGTGATTCTGATGCTTCCCGCCCACTTACCAACTCCAGAAGGAATACACCAAAACTGTATACATCACTCTTTTCAGAAAAGCGTCTAAACTCTCTCACCCTGCAAGTGTCAATGACATACAGGTGAATAAAAGAAATGCATCACCTGAACAACCAAAGAGTGGAAAGAGATTAGAAGAATATTACTCTGGGGCAAGGAATATCTCATCTGCTGTCTCTTGAGAAGATGGACCGGCAATATCACTCCTTCCCAAAAAATTACGAAGTCCTGCGTCCGCAACTTTAACTATAAAATTTTCATCTACAAGTACATTCACTGTCTTGAAATCTTTATGTATCAATCTGGGACTTAAGGAGTGAAGATGAGCCAAACCTGCAGAGAAAATGGATGACACAACTGAGGCCACATAAATCTTTTCTTTTTGGGCATAGATGATCAGTAATGAATGAGGCTGTATAAATCAGGAAGCAACATCTTAAAACTTTTCATCAGGAAAAGAGGAATTCCTTAACAATTAAAGTGTTACAAGAGCTTACAAAAGAACTGTGAGTCCAATACAGGTATCCTGATATTTTACTAAAGAAAAGAAAAACTGATACCAGGAAAGCCACAAATGCTCACTGATTTTGCAGAGGATCACCTGTAGCTGCCCCTAGAGCTATTGAGAGTCTATGTTTGAATTCTAGCTTCTGAGGTGAAACTTGACCAGCTCCTGCAGAAACATGTCGAGACTTCAATATAAAA